AGGGGGTTGGGCGGTGGGGAGCTGCAGGGCTGGGGGGGTGAAGGGTGGTCCTGAGCTGGGGTGGGTCTCCTCCCTCGAGAAGAGCCCTGGCAGCCTGGGATGCGGGATGTGATGCTTGGCAGGCGGCAAAAAACCGCGCCCGGAGCCATGGAGCCCTGCCGAGCCAGCCTGATGGTCCTCGTTATGGAGCGAGGGGCTGAGCTCCGCCTGGGATCAGCGGCCAGAAGGGAAACTGGGTTGTTAAAAGGAAAATGAAGACCTTGGCGGGGGAAGGAGAAGGTTTTAAGGGCTGTTTTTAGGAAAGGGAAGCAGATGCCACAAGGTTTTGTGGCACTGGGACCCACCTGGCAAAGCCAGTCCGAAGCCTGGAGCTTTGCTGTCCTCCCTGAGCGAGATGACCTCTCCAGCCCTTCATCAACCAACCTCCTTCTCCCGCCACGGGGGGCCAAAGGGGGACTGATGGGATGAACCTTTTGGGGTTTGAGGTGGGGCTTTCACCTCTGAGCACCAGGGAACAGGGATATCCAAGCACTCCTTGGGAGGAGATGGGGTGCCACCTCTCAGGAGGGTCCCCGACTCCATGAGGTGGTTTCTGATGCCCCCTCCTCTCCATCTCTTGCAGTCTCCAGGCCACAGACATCCCCTGAGGACCTGAAGGCGCTGATGGGGAACGTCAACCGCCTCAACGAGAGCTTTCGGGACATGCAGCTGAAGCTGCTGCACCTACCTCTGAAGGGAGACGTGCTGGAGCACATCTGGAGGCTCCAGGACCTCCTGCAGAACCACTCGGACTCCTTGTTCCTCATGACGGGGTCACTGCAGAAGCTGGAAGGGCTTCTCTGGAGCCTGCAGACCCAGGCCAGCCAAACTGACAAGGCAGTGGCCAACCTCTGGGACAGCTTGACCCAACAGAGCGACGCGGCTCAGCAGGAGATGTACAAGCTCTCTGTGGAAGGCAACAGCAGCCGGCTGCTGCTGCAGCACCACGACCATCTCCTGAGCCACCTGGGCAGCAGGGTGGAGAGCCTGAGCGACCAGGTGACGGCCATGAGCGGGTCCGTGGACACCATCAACAGGACCTTCTCCTACGACGTGAACATCCACCACACCCGCATCCAGGACCTGCAGGTGCTGATCAGCAACGCCACCGAGGACGCCCGGCAGATGCGGCTCATCCACATAGCCATGGAGGAGCAGCTGAAGCATGAGCTGGCCATCCTCAACAACGTGACGGAGGACCTGCGGCTGAAGGACTGGGAGCACTCTGTTGCGCTGAAGAACATCTCCATGATACAGGGTAAGCTGAAAAACCTCGTCAGTGGCTCCCTCGCGGGTGCGGGAAGCTGTCGTGAGGAGGGGCAGTGTCCCCAGTGCATTGAGTGGTGGTGGAAGCGGTCCCTGTGGCATGGGGATGTCCTGTGGGGATGTCTCAGGGTGTATCAAACCCATCAGACACCGCTGTTTAGGTGTCTGCAGTGTTCAGGTGTCTCCATCACCTGGGACTGCATAGTTGGGACCCTCCAAATGCTCCCCATCCATGTTAGGTGGAAAGCTCCCAAGGTTCTCTCAGCGATGCCTGGGGAAACTCTGCCAGGTCCCTCCTGACCATGAAAGTGAGTCAGACTGAGTGCGGCAGAGACTGTGGGGTTTTGTCCTGCTTCGTCCTGCAGTGATGGAGCAGAGGGCACCCACCAGCTACTGCCCATCATCATCAATCACTTCACTCGCTTTACATCCTTTTTACTCCATCTTCCTCCTCCTGTCTTCAAATCATAGAATCACGGGATGGTTTGGGTGGGAAGGGACCATTAAAGGCCATGTGGTCCAACCCCCCTGCCATGAGCAGGGACATCTTCAACCACATCAGGTTGCTCAGAGCCCTGTCCAACCTGACCTTGAGTGTTTCCAGGGATGGGGCATCAACCGCCTCTCTGGACAACCTGGGCCAGTGTCTCACCACCCTGAGGGTGATGAAATACACAACTCATACCTGCTGAGTCTTGACCATTGACCTTAGTTCTGCTGGTCCCCTATTTTTTGGTATTTATATGGTTTTCTTGGTAACTTTCCCCTCAGTCTGCCAAGCGTCTACTCCCGTTTTCTTAATTATCTGCACAGTCCAGCTATTTGTCACACTGTTATCTCATGAGCGTAGCCGTATGGCCAGGGTTAACCATCTGCTTGGACATGTCGTCCTCTCTGATGTCAGGAATATCCAGCTGTTTCCTATAGACTCATAGGATGGTTTGGGTTGGAAGGGGCCTTCCAGATAATCTAGTTCCAACCCCTCTGCCATGGACAGAGACACCTTCCACTACACTAGGTTGCTCAAAGCCTCATCCAACATGGCCTTCAACACTTCCAGGGATGGGACATTCTAATCTGAATCTCTCCTTTTTTAGTCTAAAACCATTCCCTCTTGTCCTATCTCCTCTATCCCTGTATCGCTGCCTGCCTGCCACCATCTCACCTGGCTGGAGCTCCTTGCTGCAGGACTTTTGTGGAGGCAGAAACCCAAGTGGGTCCAAAAGGCGCTGGGCAAATTGAGGTGGGACACATCCATAGCTGCTAAATGCCCCGGGCTGATCACAGTGGCTCGTTCAGTCCCAAACAAATGCACTGGCCATGGGTAGGGGAAAAATCATGAAGAAACACAGAAGATCTCAGTGCAAGCTCCTGGTGAAGGAAGCTTGGGGAGGTCCTCAGGCTCGTCTCCAGCAGCCGACCATGCCAAGCAGCTCGTGTGTCTTGGAGAGGGCTTGGCCCTGCGCCGCAGAGGGGCTCTGGTCACCAGGAGGGAGGATGCTTGGGATCCACAGCACCTTCCGCAGCTTGCTGGGTGGGATGTGCTGGCTCGCAGCAGGTCTGAGAGGGTGATTGCAACGGTCCCACCTGGCACGTCATGGAAGTCGTCATCCCGATGGTTTTGGAGAGTTTTTCTTTGCGGGGTGGGGACCAGCTTGGCACGGCGTCTGGAGTGCTGCTCAACCTCTCCCAACCACCCCTCCCACTGCTCCTCCGTCCTCCACCCCAGCCACTCGCTGTGTCCTGTCCCACCGGCTGTCCCTGGGGATGGGACCATCTCTGCTCATAGAGCTGCCTAGATGTAGCCAAGCGGAGATGTTCTGGTGGCTGATGGACCCCAGAGCTCACTGGAATAGCTCTGAAGGATGAGTGCCAAAGCCTAGGAGCCAGCAAACACAATCAGCCTGAGCATCTGCCCGTCCCCAAGCCCTGTTTCTAACCCTGGGAATTAGAGAAAGGGAATAAGGGACAACATATCCTTCCCTGGCTGTGTTCTCTCAGTCTCCAGCTCTTACGGAGCAGATAAGATTGTCTATTCCTCCATGAAACTTAGTTTCCTTCTTAGCCTGTCCATGGGCTTAGCTTCTGACATGGTGAAGGAGAAAAAAGAGAAGAGAAGAGAAGAGAAGAGAAGAGAAGAGAAGAGAAGAGAAGAGAAGAGAAGATGGCAGAAGACTAGAGGACTGCACTGTAGCAGCTGATTTTAAGGAGGAAAGGCAGCTCCAACCCCTGTTCCACCAAGAGGTGCCCTGAGCAGGCAGCTCCCATGTCCTTCTGAGGGTTAATGGAGCTGAGGTGGGGCCCTAATGTGGGTTATTTCCCAGTGTGCCTACAAAACCAGAGCAGATGGAAGTTTTTGGAGCTGCCCCCGCACAGAGGACCTCAGAGGAGCCATGCTGGAGCCGGTGCGGGGGAAGCAAGACATTTTGGTCAGCAACAGTTGTTGGAGCATGGGTGGGTCATGCAGAGTTTTCACTGCTCAGCCTGGGACACCTGGGACCTTCGGGCAGGAGATATGCCAGTAGAAAAACCCCTTCACCTTGACAGTCCCACTGCTGCCCATCAAACTCACCATCACCTCTATAAAGCCACTGACCTCTGGCAGACTCTGCTCTCTGTAACGCCCTGTGGGCTGAAATCAATGGTATTGACTTATTTTATCATAGAATCATAGAATCACATAATGGTTTGGGTTGGAAGGGACCTTCCAGATCATCTAGTTCCAACACTCCTGCCATGGCCAGGGACACCTTCCACTACACCAGGTTGCTCAAAGCCTCATCCAGCCTGGCCTTGAACACTTCCCGGGATGCGACAGCCACAGCTTCTCTGGGCAACCTGTGCCAGTGCCTCACCACCCTCAGAGGAAAGAATTTCTTCCTTAGATCTCATAGAAATCTCCCCTCTTTCAATTTAAAGCCATCACCCCTTGTCCTGTCACTACATGCCCTTGTCCAAAGCCCCTCTCCAGCTTTCCTGTAGCCCCTTTAGGAACTGGAAGGCTGCTAGAAGGTCCCCCTGGAGCTGTAAGATCACCCCAGAATGTGTTTTAATACATTGTCCATTACTTCTTTATTTCAGAAGGGGCTGGGTGATCGGGGGCAGCCTGAACACACCCACGTTATTCCTCGTTATAACAAACTGGCATGACTTGACCTCTGTCTTCCTCTTTTGGGGCACTGAAAATCAGTGGCTGTATTTAACACCATCTATTTTTTATGCAATCAGGTGCTTCCCATTGCTTCTTCATTTGCCCATTTGTTCAGTTTTTCAAACTCCAGCAGGAAAGGAGAGGGATATAAGTACATGTAGTTTTACAATGAAGGTGGTGAGACACTGGTCCAGGTTGCCCAGAGAGGTGGTAGATGCCCCATCCCTGGAACCATCCATGGTCAAGTTGGACGGGGCTCTGAGCAACCTGATCTGGTTAAAGATGTCCCAGCTCATTGCCGGGGCATTGGACTAGGTGACGTTTAATGCTCCATTCCCACCCAAACCATTCTGTGATTCGATGATTTAATGGCTGTTGTGTAACGCCCTTCTTCAACGCTCTGGAAATAAAAACTATTTCACCAGCCATCTCGGCACCTTCATACAGCTCACACCTCACCTGGCTCCTGCCCCATGTCCTCCTGCAGAGCAGCTCTTGAGCTTCACTGGACCTTCTTCATCATGGAGAATGCTCCCTCTCCCACTCGGGCCAGGCCGTGTCCCTGCTGCGTGTGGTTCCTTTGGTTCCCACCCAAAAATACTGCCTCATTGTACTCAGCTCTCCCAGGGTGTCCATTGTTCTTTGTATCCGTTTGCTGTGCCAACCGAGAACGAGTGAGGACTTGTCCACAGGGTCTGGGGTCCCTCACCTGGGGAAGAGGAGACCCGGGGCAAGCTAACGCAGTATTTCCCCGTGGTCCTCTCCTAACCCCTGCCCATCTCATCTCAGGACGTTTCCTGCTCAGGAACCCACTCATTTCTGTATACTATTTGCAAATCCTAGTTACTCCTTCGTTAGGACTGCTAAACATCTTCCCCCTCTTCCTCTCCTGATCCTTCTGCGTTACCACATCGCCCGTAGCCCTGCCTGGTTGTTTTCTTGCTACACAATGAGAAATTATGGCTTTTGGAGTTTCTAGGAAAACAGCGTTTAACAGTTTCCAATCATCATCCTGATGTGGTAGGACAAAGACCAAATGACCCCTCCAGGCCTCTCCCTGCCCTATTTTCTGTCATCCCACGAGTCTTTTTTTTTTTGTGAGTGTGGTTTTTTTTTTCTGTTCAGATTCTTTCTTCCAATTGATTTAGCTCATAATTGTTTTCAGCTTTGTGGACTTGGCCCTTCGCAGGCTGAGGAACATCATGCTGTCACGGGGTTGGGCTCTCTGCTTGCTCACGAGAGTTTACACCCAAAAAGCAATCGCCGACG